ATTATCAACATTTTATTATTATTTCATCGTTATATGACTTAATCAAATCATTGATCCTTAAAAAATTATTGTCTCAATATCAACAAATGATTGATTTAATTGGTTAAAGCTCGTTCTCTTCGATAAAAAGATTTTGAGTTTAAATCTTATCAATAATTATTTATTAAAATCATCTCAAATGTACGAACTGTAATTATCTATTATCTTAATCATTGTTTCCTTCTCTTTCTTTTTCCAAACAATTTAGGCCGTCAATTTATATAAAATTAGTAAACAAAGTAAGTAATTTGTTCGAGGAAAGGGCCGAGGCAAAGACAAGTGCAATTGGTGCCTATCCAAGGTAGTTTGTCTTTTTCTCTTTTTTATGTGGAGTCTATTTACCTCTAAATTTTTCCTATAAAAAAAAAAAAAGGTTGTCTCAGTCGTTGCTTCTCTTCTCTTTCTTTTTCCAAACAATTTAGACCGTCAATTTATATAAAAATATTAAACAAAGTAAGTACTTTGTTCGAGGAAAGGGCCGAGGCAAAGACAAGTGCAATTGGTGCCTATCCAAGGTAGTTTGTCTTCTTCTTCTCTTTTTGTTTTTTTTTTTTTAAACTGTGATTTGATGGCAACTTATATGTAAACTTCCTGCACAAATCGCGTTGTCTTGGTTAAAAAAAGCATCAACGTTTAGTTATATTAATTTTCTTCACACGCGTTGTAAATGCATGTCATTGTTTAATAAAATTAAAATAATCATCATAATATTAAATTAAATTGAAAAGATAAACTTAAATTCAAAAATAAATAAATTTTGGATTCTAGTTTATCAATTTCTTGCCCTATCATGATTAGTAATGATAAACCATAAGTTTTGTAGTTATCATAATAATGAATCATCTGCATCAAAAAATCTTATAAAATTTATAACAGATCATTCCAGCTAAAAGAAATTATTGTAGTAAGATTTATTCAAATAAATTATTATAGTGAAAAGCATAATTTTATAAAAATGAAAGCACATGTTTCACGTTTATGTTAAGAGAGCCCTTGAAATTTGAGCACCGAGTGAAATACTTTTAATTATGCTTGATTTATGAATAAATTATGTTGATAGTCCCTTGTGAAAATAATAGATCTTCTTTCTTGGTATCTTCAATTGTTAGGTAGAAAATCAACTTTAATAAAATATGTATTTTGCTTAATAATGGCATGGTGCAAAAAAAAAAAAAACTTTAATAAAATAGTTAAAAAAACAGACTGAACTTTATTAAAATTGTAAAGATTTGTGACTTTAACATAATTTAATTAGTTAATAGAGATATTTACCAAATATTATAGATATGGTTTTTTTTTTTTTTGCATAGATAATGATGGGCTTTTGTTTAGTGAACTGACCAATTATAAATAATTGGCAAAAGTTTATCTTGGTCTTGGCTTCATCCTTGAATCATTTATATAACTAAAAATGTAAAAAAAAAAAAAAAAAATGGCTGAATAACGAATGCATGAAATAATTATGTTCTAAAACCACGAAATTAACTTATTTTTTCTACAACGACAGAGAGCAAGATGTATTAAGTTGGATCAAGCAAACACGTTTTTTGTTTTTTATCATTTATATATAAAAATATGAATTTCAAAAATATTAAAATATTTTTTATAATGTCATGAATAATAATATATATCTTTACAAATTTTATTTATTATTAAAAGTCATTTTTTAAGTGAAAATCATAGTAGAATTAATTAATGTATTAATTAATTAAGATGGCTAAAATATTTTTGATAGACTTCTATTTAAACACAATTAATTATAAATAAAAATAGAATTATTATTGCCTTGAATAATAATTTCAAACAATATGATTATTTATATAATTTTGATAACATTTAATAAAATTTTAATAAGTTTGATATAATTTTGATAATCTTTAATATAATTTTGGTAATCTTAAATATAATTTTGATTCTGGTAACTTCTTATACATTTGGGTAACTTTTGTTAGAAATTTAAACTTTGATAAAATTTTGTAACCGTCAATAAAATATTGATAATATTAGGTATTAGTTTGATAACCTGATATAATTTTAGTAATTATTAATATAATTTTGATAATTTGTGATAAAACATTGATAATTTAACCTATCGATGTAATTTTAGTAACCTTTTATACAATCTTAAATAATTTATAATATAATTTTAGTAATTATTAATATTATTTTAATTATCATTGATAGCATTTTGGTAACATTGGGTATAGTTTTTAAAGCCTTGGAGTTTTTTTCTTTATATTCAAAAAACCTCAAAGCCACGTCAACTCAAGCCAAGGTTCAAGAAACGCTGACCATCCTATAACCACGCACTACTTCGTCACATAAAGACGATGGGCCATAGTTAAGGGTGAAATCCAGGATTTTGCTGTGGGTTTTTTAATTTAAAACACAACACCAAAATAAAAATATATATATTATATAAATTAAAATTTTAATAAAAATTATATATGAGTTTAATAAGAATAAAAAATATATTTTGTATTTTTTACATTAACACAAATTTTAATATATAATTTTTATATAAAATATGATATAAATATATAAATTATTAATATTTTACACAATAAAAATAAATAAATAACAAGATATAGTTATGGTGTATAAAAAAGAAATCATAATAATAAATATCATAAAAGCTGAGATAAGAAATGGCCTCTCCAAGATACTATATATGAATCATATTTTTCTGACATAATTATGGCATATTTTAGTTATAATAGAATGTGATTTATGTTTGTTCGTGTATGGAAAACCTGGGCGCTTTTATTTTGCTGGTAAAGTGAGAGTTTTCATCATAACTCGTATTGACACTGAACCATAACGGCGGAGTTATATTGTATAAATCGGCTTAGCCCTAAGTTGCTCCCATACCATCCCATCCCATGCAAGTGGGAAAAAAAAAAGCCATTTGTTCTTGTTGGAGTGTAGGTAGACCACTACTTGCTATACAAGTCTTTTAAGATGCTATATTTTCGTTGCCCCTATTGAATACTTGTCTTTGTTTCATCTGTCCTCGTGTTGGAACTCGGAAACTAATTTTCTTCCATATATTTCTCTCATTTTCTATCTTTAATTTCCAGTCTGCGATTAATGGGGACTCAACACCAACATGGTGGACCACCTGATCTTAATGTACCTTTGCTTCTTGACCTGAACCATAGCAAATTACAGGATTTAGAGGCACCTGGAGATGTCGTTGATGTCCATGTTGATGGCACCACCTCTTTTTTCAAAACTTGTTTCAATGGACTAAATGCTTTATCAGGTACTTTCTCATCAATTCTCAACTTTTGATAAAATTCTTGTTTTCATATATAGTAATGAGATTGGTTGAAGTTATCGTCTAAAAATGCATGGGCGAGAGAGTTGTTTCATTGTCAGGCCAAGCTTTTGAAAAAAGTAAAACCTGCCACAATTTAACTGAAGAAAAAGACAATGGAAAATTATTTTGAGGTGGAATTTTAGTTCACAGCTCTCAAATCAAATCTAGCTAGAACTTGCAGCTGTGCGTATGAATCTGTACAGAAGTTTTAAGGGCCAAAAAGAAAGAGGAGATGGGCCTGAGGCGGCTGAGAAACGGAACCATGAATATCCCAAAATTTTTTTCTGGTGTAGGTAGGACCAAAGAAATTTCATAAAAATTCGTGGTGCCCAGCATTTGTTTAGTAGCAAACAAAGAAGTGGTGTCTTTATCTACAGCAGGGAGACGTGTTACCATATATTTTTTTGTGGAAGTTATTTTTTGTCTTCAATTCTCTATCACTGTTTTTTTTTTCTTGATGATATGATTTAATTTAGAGCCTTATTTCTTTTGGCTTCTTCTTCTTTACTCCAAATAACATCCATCTTACGTATTTGGATTAGCGTCAATTATTATCTCAAAACCCATGTTTTATGCTTTTTGACTTATGCTATAAAAAAATGAAATTTTGCATTATGAAGAGGCTAGACTTTCTCTAAAGGGATAAACTTTCTTGTTAATGGGGTAAGATAGACGGCAGCTAGTGAGAATTCATGATTGATGATCTTCTTTAGATGTATATAATCTATCAATTAACATTATTATATATTTATACAATGCCCCAGGAGAAAATGCAATGATGAAGTGATAAACCATTGTTGCAGTCATGTTGGACTATGGCTTGAATTTTTGGTGCTATAGTCCCTACAATATGATATACTCTAAAATTCTCATAAACCTCCAATTGACATTTAAGTATTCTTTTTGTCCAAATTCAATTGAATTAAAGACAAATTTTGAAGACATTCTTTTGCTTAATTAGCATTTGACTTCTTTCTATACATAATAATAGTCCCCCTTTTGTCTAGTTTGCATGAGAAGAGTGGGGGTTCGACATGGGTAATAATGGTGGCATGTGCTTTTATAGCTGTATCTGTGACATTAAAGCCACCCTGGAACTTATGAAATATTTTTTCTGATTCATTAAATTCAGAAAAATGTTAGGTAAATTCTTGTGAATTATGTGGAGAAAAATGATGGGAAGAATGATAAAATATATTAACAGATGAAGTAGATTCAAGTCCCAGTCATTAAACTAGCTTACGGCCAAATTGGACCATGTAAGTCTGTAGTCTGCGCAAATTAGGCATAAAAGTTGGAACTATGCTTTGTCATGGTGCTCATGTTCCATATTACCTCTTGGTCACAACTTCCCATTCATGACTAATTTGGCACAATCACATCACTCTTTTCCCTTTATCAACTTTTTTCTCTTCCGTTTCTCTCTAAGATGCAAACTCCTGATATAATTTGGGCACTAGTTAATCAAGGAAGGAAAGGCCAACGTAAAGACAATTAACTCTTGGCTTTAGATAGGTGTTCAGAGAAAAATGGGAAACTATCAGATAAGGACAATTTAGGATCAGACTGACCAGTGGATTGGTAAGGGGCTTTTCACTATGGGGTTGTTTGCTGCAAGGAGAACTGCTGGAAAAAACTGAAAAGAGAACTTTTAACGGTGTGCTTTACGAGTTACTGGTTTGTGAAGTCAATGGAAGTTTGTCGACCTATAGCGGTATGCCTGGATCGACAGTGGCATCGTAACTTACTTCACGTACTTAGCAGCAAAATGTCTTAATGAGTACAAGACAGTGATTGTCTATTGCGAAATGTGTTTAATATGCTTGGGAAGCCAACACCTCTAAAGTTAATACCACATTATTCCAAGTTCAGGTGTCAAACAAGTAGCTACTGTTTTTTTTTTTTTTTAATCCTTCTTACCTCTTTCGAGCTATATCTTTGAACCTTTCTCTCTTTCTCAATTATGGAGACCATGGCACATGGGGAGTCATCCTTGACTGTGCCTCTCATTGAGGATGAGAATAAAGAAGGGTTGGGAAACAAACTAGAGGAAGTAGAGTCAAATTCTGCTCATTCCGGTGCAAGTACTGCCTCTGTTCTCAGAACCTGTTTCAATGGACTTAATGCTCTTTCAGGTTCGGTTCAGTTCTTTGTTCTAATTCATCTTACTTCCTAGCCCTGATTAGACCCTGCCCCAAGTCCCCGGGAGCATTACTTATTGGATTAATTTGTAACTTCAATGGCAAATATTTGCTGAACCAGCCATCTAATGGTCCAAATTCCAGTCATTTTGAAGAACACTTTCTGATTTAAGGAGCAACAGTGAGACTGTAGGAGTTGGCAAGAAGCATTTCTTATTTTTAATTTCTTTTAACACTTTCATTTGTTTTTTCTCCTAAACTATAGTACCAATTAAGAAAAGTAGCCTGGCTCTCCCTAACTTTTTTTCTTAAACTATTTCCAGGAGTTGGGATATTATCAATCACATATGCACTGGCATCAGGAGGATGGTTGAGCTTGATACTTCTCTTTGCCATAGCCACTGCAGCATTCTACTCGGGTTTGTTAATTCAAAGATGTATGGATGCAGATTCAAGTATCAGAACTTATCCTGACATAGGCGAGCGTGCATTTGGGAATAAGGGGAGACTAATAGTATCAGTTTTCATGTACGTCGAGCTCTACTTAGTCGCGACAGGATTTTTGATTCTAGAAGGAGATAACTTGCAAAATTTGATACCGAACGTGGAATTTGAAGTAGCAGGACTAACAATTGGTGGCAAACAAGGCTTTACTATAATTGTAGCCCTCATAATTTTGCCTACTGTTTGGTTGGATAACTTGAGCCTTCTTTCTTATGTCTCTGCCAGTGGGGTTGTAGCTTCTGCAATCATCCTTGGTTCAATTATCTGGACTGGTGCGTTTGATGGAATTGGGTTTCAACAAAAGGGAACACTGATAAATTGGGATGGAATCCCAACTGCTGTTAGCTTATATGCCTTCTGTTATTGTGCACATCCAGTCTTCCCGACCCTTTACACTTCAATGAAAAAAAGGCATCAGTTCTCCAATGTAAGTATGAACTTTCCGAATTTAAATTGTTCTAGTTCACATAATTCCAGTCTGTTGGAAGAGTCCTGGTTTTCAACAGGTTTTTGAAGGAAAGCTGTCTGTTTTTCTTTTAGGTGCTGGTTGTATGCTTTGTCTTGTGTACCATCAGCTATGCATCCATGGCAATTTTTGGGTACTTAATGTTCGGATCAGATGTGCAATCACAGATAACTTTGAACCTTCCAACTCACAAGCTCAGCTCAAGAGTGGCAATATACACCACCCTGGTTAATCCCATAAGCAAATATGCGTTGATGGTTACACCAATTGTCAATGCCGCTAAAACCTGGTTCCCATACCAGTACAACAAGCGATTCCTCAGCCTCTTTGCTGGTACCACCCTGGTGACTAGCACTGTTACGGTGGCTCTGGCAGTTCCATTTTTCGGTTCCCTCATGTCTCTGGTTGGAGCTTTTTTAAGCTTCACAGCTTCAGTCATACTACCATGCTTATGCTACTTGAAGATATCAGGTACTTACCAGAGATTCAATGGAGAAACGGTTGGCATAGGCCTAGTAATTTTAATGGGTTTTGCTGTGGTTATATTTGGTACTTACACATCTCTTATAGACATAATAGGCAATTTATAAATGCCACGGTTTGTATGAGCTTATTTTGCTATAATGTAATGTATTCTTGAGTTATTTGGAGTGTTCTCTAAATTCAGACAAAAGTTTTCTGTAATGTATTCTTGAGTTATTTGGAGTGTTCTCTAAATTCAGACAAAAGTTTTCTTCATCTCGATTCTGGAATCTGTTCCATGCAGTTAGCACTAACAATGCTTCCTACACCTTCACCGCATGGGTATAGATAGAGTGTCAAAATGACATGCATTAATTATCACTGATTAATCAAGCTTTTTTCCTATATTTTGAGTGTTTTGATCCTTGAATTAAGCCAACTTTTCACTGGATTGACAACATAGTATAATCAATAATTATCACTAATTTTTCCCGACCAAAAAAAAATAAAAACTAATTTTCAAGTTTGCACTACACGAGATTACAAAATTAAGGCTTCAATATTTAATTGGTACAAATTCTAGCCAAGGCCTCAAATTCCCTCTTGTAATTAGATTGCTGACTGATAAAGTACCAGCCTATCATGAGAAAATCTTCATGGAACTCCCTATGATCTTTTGGCTTTCACTTGTGTTATTAGCCACAAGGACAGATTAAATTTTGGTTTTTTCTTTCAAGCACAGCATCCAGATTTTTAGCAGAGAATCTTTCTCTCCTCGAGATCCACCTTTCTTTGTTTGGACTTGGGTTGTATTGTGCTACAAGGGTAGAAAGTTTGAATGTTTCTTTTCATGTATGTATAAAATATATATATATATATAAAGTACCAGCCTATCATAAGAAAATCTTCATGGAACTCCCTATGATCTTTTGTCTTTCACATGTGTTATCAGCCACAAGAACAGATTAAATTTTGGTTTTTTTCTTTCAAGCACAGCATCCAGACTTTTAGAAGAGAATCTTTCTCTCCTCGAGATCCACCTTTCTATGTTTGAACTTCGGTTGTATTGTGTACAAGGGTAGAAAGTTTAAAAGTTTCTTTTCATGTATGTATAATATATATATATATATATATATGTCTTCAGCCTTCCCTGATTCCAAAGCTTTTACCAGCACCAGACAAATAGGATTGCGAGACATTATTATATTTCTAAGCCCTTCCATAAGGCTGGGTAAACATCTCTTGTACCTTAAGGAGACAAGATGAAGGTTGGTTGACAGTCTCTAGTGAATTTGGGGCAATTTTTCGCAGAAAGATCAAGCAAGGGTTGTCGATATCAGTCACATAATTGATAGTCTTTGGAGAAGGGGGAGAAAAGGGAATTGATGGTTGACTTTGTCATTCAGATGGTAAATTAAATGAATAATATAGGCAGGATGTCGAATATAATGCAAAAGTGCAGCTTGCACAATGAATATTTTCTCTATTCTTGAACATAAAAGTGTCCACATCATGCGATTCAACTACAAAAGGTTAGTCATTTTCATGTGTAAGGTCAGTGTATGTAGCAATGGATAGATATCATCAAAATCGAATTGGGAATCATACCCCGAAAAAAACTGATAAATAGAGCCATTTAACTCAAGACAGCTTTCACCAGCCCTGATTTTCAACCCTCTATCCCTCATAAACCTCCGTACATTCGCTGCTCTGTCCCACTTCCCAGCTTCTGCATACATGTTTGAAATCATTACCAAATTTCCACTTCTCCTTGGCTCCAACTCAAGCAACCTCTTCCTCACCTTCTCACCAACGCCATCAGTATCATTAACATTACAAACAGTGCATGCACTTAGCAATGTCCTCCATAAAATTGGGTCAGGCTCAAAAGGCATGTTCTTTATGAAAGTGTAAGCATCTTTCAAACAACCAGCACGACCCAAGACGTCAACCATTGCACCATAATGAACCATCATAGGCTTAATCCCATGAACATACTCCATTTCACGAAAATACCGGTACCCATCATCTACCAATCCAGCATGGCTACAAGCACAAAGAACTCCAAGAAAGGTAACATAATTCGGTCTTATACAGGAACTTTTCGTCATCATTACAAAAAGTTCAAGGGCTTCCTTAGCAAAACCATGTTGAGCAAATCCCAAAATCATTGCACTCCAAGTCCACACATTTTTCTCTTCCATTCTCTCAAAAACTCGGCTAGCATACCGAACATCTCCGCTTTTCGCATACATATCAACAAGTGCAGTCCCCAATTGACAATTCAAAACCAAACCTCTCTCAATAACTTGCAAATGAAGCAACCACCCTAAGCTTAAAAATCCTAACTCCGCACATGCTGAAAGCATGATTACCATCGTGGTTTCATCCGGATCAAAACCACAATCCCTCATCTTAACAAAATAACCGAGCGCATCTTCAATGCAAAAATTCTCAACAAAGGCACTAATCATTGCATTCCACGAAACTATAGTTCTGTCACCCATTTCATCGAACACTTTCTTTGCATACATTATCTTCTCACAACACCCATAGAAATAAACCAAATTGTTATCAACATAAACATCATCATCTAAACCATGCTTTACAATCTCTCCATGAACCTGTCTCCCTTCCTCAAGTGCTTCTGCACCCGCGCACGCTTTTAAAACAAATGGGTACGTAAGTTTATTGCGTTTAAACCCTCGTTTTCGCATTTCTTTAAGTAACCAGATTGCCTTTTGGGGAGAATTACTCGAAGCATGGCCTCGGATGAGGATATTCCATGTAGACGGAGTCGAATTGAGTGAGTTTAATAGGAGGGAATGCGCGTAGGTGAGGTTTCTGAAGGGAGATATAGAGGAGAATCTGACGAGTTCAGTGAGGAGGAAAGAGTCTTGGTGGAGATTAGAGATGACAATTTGGGCTTGGATTTGAGAGAGGTGTTTGATTGAAGAACAGAGCTTTAAAAGAACCAGAAATTGGTGCTTTTTTGAAAGGAAGTTTTGGTTGCTCATTATTTGGAGGGAAAATTTTCGTTTGCGGTGGAATAAAAAGTGAGAAAATTATAAGTCATCCTCAAAATCTGAACGGCATCGTTTTAGTGTTCATAAGGAAATAAATTTTAGACACGAGGATGGGATAAAATATTATATGAAAAACATTAAAGACGGGACAGATAAATTTTGAGAAAAATTGTAAATGAATTTAATAAAAATAAAAAAATATTTTATATTGATAAATTATGATATAATAATTTTTATATTTTATAAATATTTGACATGAAATAAATATAACATAAATAAACAATTATCATGTATAAATTAAACCATCACAAAAAAACAAATCAGTATCTAATAAAAAAAATTATCAAATATATTAATATAAAAGTTTTTAGATTTTACAAATAGAGTTAAAAAGTTGAAAGTGTGACACATATTTCTTAAAATATATTTAAAAAATTTAATTAAGAATAAAAATAAAACATATGTTAATTTTTTAACTGTGCATATAAAATTAAAAATTTAAACGAGAGTGTATCTAATATTAACTAAAAAAATCATTTAAGGCTAAGGAGATAGTCATAAAAACCAAGCAAAAGAAATTGCCAACCGCATCAGCCACCACTAAGAGTAACATATAGAAAGAACCCATCCGCAAAAATCAAACTTCAGTGATGATACTACAAATGAAACAGAACAAGGAAAATGTTGGAAAAAAAGATGAACTGAAAAAAAAAAAAAAAAAAAAAAAAAAAAAAACCCTAAAACATTAGTGCTAGGAAAATACTGGGCCATTAATGCCATTGCACGATCAAGTCAAGGATCAATAGATAAAGTTCAAGCATAAGCAGAGAGGTACCAAAAGACTTAAGGAAACTTTGCTAGTCGTAGCCATTTAAAAACGTCAAGGAGAAGATTGGACTTAATATGGCATCAACTGCATCAATCAAGAAATGAAGATGAAAATCCAAGGGGAGTGAAACATTGGGAAAGAAAAGTAAACAATCTAGCATTTGATAACTGAAATCATAAACATGCAAAAAACAGACTTATTTGAGGCAAGGAAAAAAAAAAACTAAAAAGAATCAATGCCAAGAAACTCACTGGGTAAGGGATTGTGCCCAAACTCACTAGGTATATCGAGGGCACCTTGCAGCAGGCGCCCAAAAGGTTTCGCCGCTCGGATATGGATCCATTGGGCGGCAGATGGCTCAGGAAGTAGCCCTAGTCACCCCGAGTACTGCCCACCTCCTGCTTCCGAATGCCAAACTTGTTGATATAATGTAGGGAAAACTTGGTGACGGTTGGTACTTGCTAGTCATTAACCGTCAATAACAACCCAAAGTTTCGAATTTCAAACCAAAGAAAAAACCCTTTAAATATCACATAATTCCCCTAAAACTTTCATTACATTGTCATCACGTCAGTTTTTTTGTTTTTTTTCTTCTCCGCCATTCCCTTTGTGTCTGAAAACAATATGGAACACACTGAAGAAGGAATTGGCATCAAAGTCTACAATGCAACACCAGAGGAAGGTCCTACACGAATCTCCTCCCTCCCTCGGCTGCCACCAGAAGCCAACCGGAAGAGGAAAGCCGTGGCGAAAGGAGTACAAAAAACTATATCCAAAACTTCTATGCTTGTGAACTTCCTTCCAACAGGCACCCTTTTAACTTTTGAAATGGTCCTGCCTTCTGTTTCCCACAATGGTGATTGCTCCCCTGTTAACACCATGATGATTTACTTCCTCCTATGCCTTTGCGCATTCTCTTGCTTCTTCTTCCATTTCACTGATAGTTTCCGGGATCCTAACGGAAAACTTTACTATGGTTTCGTGACCCCAAAGGGACTGGCTGTGTTCAAGCCTGGTCTCGACATTGAAACCCCGAAAGATGATAAATATAAGGTTGGACTTACTGATTTTGTGCATGCCATCATGTCGGTCTTGGTGTTTGTGGCAATTGCGTTTTCGGATCATAGAGTTACAAACTGTGTTTTCCCCGGGTATGAGAAGGAAATGGATCAGGTTATGGAGAGTTTTCCACTGATGGTGGGGATTATTTGCAGTGGCTTGTTTCTTGTGTTTCCTACCACTAGATTTGGCGTTGGTTGCATGCCTGCTTGAAATTTTTAGAAAATCATTGTTTTCAGTGTTGGTATAGATATATTAGTGTGAAATGAATTTGTAAGAATAAATTTCTTCAAGAATTTATGGCTTCTGCCTGCAGAAGAAAGTAACATTATTGCTAAATATGTAGTTTTTCTGTGGTTTTCATCAAGAATTTTATGTGTTTGAATTTATGCAAGTATTTGAACAAATTTGGTGTTGTAATATTAATTTGGCAGGGAATCGATTAAGGAAAACCGCTTTCATTTTTTTTTTTTTCTGTTTTATTATCATCATCATCATGATCATTTAGATAATATGATTTATGATAAAGATATAGTAATTTGAATAACTCACTACTTACGAGTAAAATGGTAAGCAATATATCAATTGACGTCTGAAGTTTCATACTGATATAATGCCTTTCAATATCAATTTTCTTTTGATTCTTCTAACTGTTTTTTTTTTTTTTATTTTCTGATAAGAATTTGTCATCTCCTTGACTGTGCTTTAAATGCTAATGTTGTATTCAACAGATTTCTTTTTCTGAAGAAAAAAGAAAGACAACATTCAGAAATGCATGATTTATGCCAAAGAATAATGACAATAAATATTAAAATATCATTCAGAAATTTTTGTAGAATCAAGCTGTACAATCAATATCTGCCCCCGTCGTCTCTGTCTCCCTCAAAAGAGCATCCTGGATGGACAAAAGAAAATGTAAAACTAGAGTCCTAACTAGAAGTAGTGTGAAGAAGATATAGTTTTGACTTATGGATCGAATCTGTAACCTTGTTTTCGACAACGTCCAAAGGATTTCTCCATGCGAGTTTAATCTAAAGATCTTGCAGAAAAACTGTAGTCAAACAAAAATTTTAACTTGTGCTTTTCTGATATAGTAGCTTAGCTTATGAACTGCAGCATTTAGCAACACGCTCTTCTTGCAACTTCTGCCATAGGCAAAGCAAATCTCTGGGGCTTTGATAGTGAGCAACAACATACCCATCCTTGCACCCTTCGATGTGGACCCGCCCTTCATTTATGTAATGTACCTTCAAACCTTCCCTTTTCATATCTAGTATCCAGATCCCCATTGCTACATCCTCCAGCTTAAACATCTGCCCATGTCAGGAATGACCAATTTTTTATATTGACAGAAATTTTGTGAATGGTAATATAAGAATGGCAGAAGAGAGAAGCAAAGTAAGGTTTAATTGGTCCAATGAAGGACGAACATTGTGACAGTAAGGAGTGAATGCATAAAAGTCAAGAGGATGAGCTCAACTATTTGAGTAACAGAATAGATGATAATTATGTAGCATAAATTAAAGATATAAAGAATTAACCAATGGATTCAGTTGACCAAGGCACATATTAACAGACAATGATGGTCAGGTCAAGATAGCTAGGGAAAGACAAGAAAGACAAGAGGTGAGGGGGAGGAGAAAATGCTTTTCTATTTTTGGTAGAGACTTACTCGTAAACGGCCTTCTTTGTGCATTGTATAGACAGCCTTAGCTATGTCATGCGATACCACATAACCAGGGCCATGTGCCCAAGGAGGGTAAGTACTTCCAGGATATTCCTTCAGAAAAGCAATTAGGACACAATAAAAGTCAATTAGCCAAACAATAAAACCATTCATGCACGTCCCAAAACTATAAGCCCCATGCCAAAACTCTTCTAATTTGAGCTCATCTAATTGAGCTTCTTCATCCCTTCTCACCCATTTGAAGAAAATGAATAGATTCAGCAGACAAAATTACCTCAGGACTGATATACCATTTACTATCAGTGTTCCGATGAGGCTGAGCATCATAGTTTATAAGACCATAAAGCAACCCATGGTTCACATTTTCTTTACTTATAGAAGCTAACACTTCATCCACACGAACAAAGGCATCATCATCGGTCTTCATGACATGCTTGGCTGAAACAGCCTGTGTCTGTTAACAACGCAAATAAGCCATGAAGCAATCAGAAAAAAAAATGTGAGACTGTAAGAACTTACCCCAAAAATACAGATTGCTACAGTCTTCCAAGTAATAAGACCATAATAGTCAACAAAAGGCATCAGTTGAATGTCTCCATATGTGTTTATCTCATTCCAGAGTTCTTCATTCACTATCTGGTTCTTATGCTGCATTATGAGGCAAAGATTTAGTATAACTTTCCAGTTAAAAAGAATGAACTAGAACCTTCTAGAAACTAAACAAGCAAGAAATTCAAGAGAAAACTCAGAGTAGATTAACATGTACAATAAAGGCCAGCAACAAATTTAACATTATATTCCATGAAGGAAAATATTTGCTCCAAATGATAATGAATGAAAGTGTGGAACTCACCAGACCAACAAAAAAGCGTACTGCAACTGCTCCTGACTTCACTGCTGGATATTGCATCCATGTTCTGCGAACAGCCATCCGACGCTTGAAGTTGTTTGCTGTAGAAAAGACACCAATAAAGAGGTCTAATGGCTGGTATGGTGCAGAAGGAACCACTCTCAAGGCATCCAAATCATTAATGTGCTCTAAGTCCTCAGATGTAGGTAAACCACTAGCAAGGACAGAAGTTAACTTTATATCTCCAGATATCGTAACTTCATTTACAAGCCATGGTTCCAGACCCTATAACATCCTCATAAAATTTCAATTGATTCAGGGGAAAACAAAGAAGTATCTCTTTAAAATCACTATATAAAACGAAAATCAAGTAAGAAACACAAAAGAAAAGAGAAATTACTTCACGGTGAGCAAATGATGTTATATGCTTTCCATCAACAGTCATCTGAAATCCTTCTTCTCCCACTCGAAGCGTCATAACAGACAAATACCCTATCTTAAACGGAAAGTATTGCCTGCTTTTAGTTCTGTTTTCTGCCACGGATGACCATACAGAAATGATTGAGGATTCATTGGTTGTAAACCTCCGGCTATCAACTTTACCCACCTTATCATTGCATTGTTTCAAATCATCCACTGTATATCATGCAAAAAGAATTCAGTAAATATATATAGCTAGCAAAGGTCTCCATATGAAGATTCAAAAGTTGCATAAATATATAGCTATCAAACTTTGCATTTAGCAGTTAGTTTTTCTTTCTCCCAAAAGTTTATATGCTGTTGTTAGTCTTGAATCGAGGGCATAGGGCATCAAGTTTGTATGCCTTTATAGTACAATATTATGGCTCTAAATGGCTTAATTCTTTGCCTAGCCAGCATATTGGACTGAGTCTATAAACAGATCTGGCAAAGTACCTTTCTTATTATTTCCTACAACTGCAGATGGGCATCGCTCTTCTTCACCCCAATCATGAGCAGCAGTCCATGTGTTTTGGACAATTACAGGATCCTCCGTATCCTTATCACCTCGGAGGCGGACATTGTAATGCAAAACAATAGGAGGATCCGGCTCCCCTGGAACTGGTTCCCCTGTCAAATCGATTCTGAAGCTTCCCAAAAGACCATCTGGAATGCCAATTATAGTGATCGCAGAACCTTGAATAAGGCCGCATGGTATTCTTAGTTTATAACCTTTATCTCCAAAATCTGCGGGATTCATCTTATTTAAGAAATGCGGACATTGTTTCTCCTTTACATTCTGATCAAGCACACTTTCATTAGCCTCAATTTGTTGCTTCTTGGCAACCGCATCCAAAAGATTTTCCCACGCAACCCGAGCTTCTCTAACAGCCTCTAGCGCATTAGGCAAGCCTTTAGTATAGTTAACTATATGCTTCATCTGATTCCATGTCAATAAAGAACTTTGAACTTCATTAGAGAAATTCCTCTCAAGAAAGAGCCCATTGACCAACTTGTCAGCATGAACTACTTGATTAGCAGGTTCTGGATTTTGAACTGCTGGAGAAACAGCAGGTTGAATCCATTTAAGAGGATGATCAGTCGCATTAGCGGTTATACTACGTTGAAGGTAATTCTTCCCAAATGGGTTTTTGATCATCACATCATATCTCAATATCAGCATCACCAAGAAGGACCCCAGTAACACACTTCCCAGCCATTTCTTCATATTTGTCTGAACCACTTTGTCATGTAAGTGAACTATCATGTAAAACAATCACATAAAAATGTTGACAAGAAAACAGAATTAAGGAAATTCAATCAGAAATCTTTCCTTTCCTAATTTAACAAGATTAAGCCACAGTTTCCATGATTCTTATAAAATCTGAGCCAAACCAACCACAGAAAAGCACACCTGTATTCTAGTCAAAAAAATCATTCAAGTCTAAGGAGAAAGTCAATAAAAGAAACTGACTACTGCATCAGCCACCACTAAAAGTAAACATACAAACAAAACTAGAAAGATCCCATCTGCGAAAATCAAACTTCAGAACAGATGATGATATTACAAACGAAACAGAACAAGGAATATGTTAGAAACAAAGATGAACTGAAAAACAAAAGAAAAAGATAAAGCTAAGTAATTCAAAAGGAAGTAAAAATCACATATGCATGTAAAAAAAAAGATAAATGAAAAAAATAAGCTATAAAGATTTATAAGTATATATATTACTTAGTTACAAACCTGAATTTTTTTATGGGTTTTTTTTTTCTTTTGTATGGAACCTTGGTCTGTTTTGGTAGGTTTTTCTTAGAAAAAAGAAAGAAAGAAAGAGAAAGAAAATGAGAAAAGTTGACAAGGGCAATGAAGAATAAAGGGAAGAAGACGAAGTCTAGGGGAGAGATTCGTGGAAAACAAGGAGAAATTGAAAATATGAATGTGAAAAGAAAAGAAAGGATGGAGCTTTAAATTTTTGAACTTGAAGTATACGCCAAAATAAGAGGCGGTTGGATAGATGCAAACTGTTGCTGTTGGCTACTTGTTTTGTTAAGATTTGTTTAGACAAGAGATTTAAATAGTGGTCGCGGTCACGTTTTCGATCACGTAGTATTTATTGTATTTTTGGATATAATGGAGATAATTATGATCATTGCAGTCATCACGGTCGTAAATTTTTTGTTTACACAATTTATTATAAAATGTAATAATTATAATTATAATTATAAAAATTCTTATTCAAAGATTTTAAAAATAATTTATGACACTTTATAATTTTTATTTTTTAAAAAAATTATTCACAATTATATTTAAATTATAAAAAGTATTCATATTTGGTTTATCCATAAAATTTGTCTTGGCCAAGTTTATATTCAATATTAATTCTAGACAAATTAAATATTAACAAAACATAATATGTTAAATATCAAGCATTTAATTTAACAAAATTACAAACTTAAAAATATAATATTTTCAAATTCCATCAACTACAATTATTGATACATATTTCAAATTTTATCACATGGTAGAATGACGAGGAGGATCAGATTCTCTATCTTCATTTTGAGAGCCAAGTTGACTCCATCTCTATTCCTAAAGCCTTTGTTTTTTATACATTTGAGGCGAAAAATATATTTAAAGATGATATATTTGTGGTGGAGGGTACATTATCTATGTATATCATATTAAATTATTAATCTCTTAATTTTTTTTAATTATAAATCTACAATCCGTCGAATTAGATTTTATCTAAAAAAATTTCAAAAATTAAAAGTTTTCAAACTTATATTTTAATAAAATTTTCAAACCTATATTTTTTATTTTTTAGTTTTTAATCTTAATAAGAGTAATAGATCATAAAATGCTAAATTTGTTAAATAACTTAATTTTTTTATACACTAATTGATATAAATTTTTTTTATCACAAGCAACTTTTAATAATTATATAATAAACACAATCTTCAATAACTACACAAAAATAACAAGAATCAATCTAATATCAAAAGAATTGGCAATAATATAAATATCAAAACAACAAAAAAAAAATTAAAATTCAGATACAAAATTATAAATTAATATATAACACAATCAAAATATAATATTTAATTTTAATTATTTTTCATCTAACTTATACAAAAAAATTTATAAAAAAATTTCATTTAAAATCTCTATATATTATATTAAATTATTAATATCTTTTTTTTTAATTATAAATTTTCAAAACCACTAATTAAATTTTATCTAAAAATTTTTAAAAATTAATTACAAAATTAAATTAAAAAAATTCAATCACACCCTCCAAACACCCCACCACACCCAATCCCTCCCCACCTTCCCCCCAACGCCTCACCACACCCAATCCCTCCCCACCCCATCCAATCTTTCCACACGTGCCTAATATCCCAAATTTGTTTAATTCTTTTTAGCAAACGGCAAACCTTTCTAGAAACGCTAATACTCTCTTCTGTTCATCTTCTTCTTTGTGCTGCCTTCCTTGGCTTTCCAAAATTTTCTTCTTATCTCTTTTTTTTTTCATCTTTCATTTTCTCTAGCATCCCTTTATCATTATCATTTGCTGACTTGCCTAGTATATACGGATACCTTGTTCATCTTTTAAACTCTCATAACAGATCATTTTACAGAAATTTTACAAAAAAAAGGTAATTTAACTTTCTTTTCTTACCTTATTTGATCTTAAATGTTGATTGAAAACTTGAAGTTGATTTGAATTTGAATGCCGAAAATATCGATTGAATGGTTGAAACTTGAAATAATTGATCTGTTTTCTAACTCGTTTTTAAATTTATTTTGATGATAAAGATCTGAGATTGTGAGCTTTATTTTTTGCTTTGGCTTTTATTTTTACTTTTGCACATTTATTATTTTATTCTACATAAAGTTTTGTTTTTGTCTTGAACTATTAAATTCGTGAGTAGAAAAACAGAATAGCAACAATAACGATCCGTTATTGTCACTATTGCCCGTTATGTCGTTATTTTACTACTGTTACTTTCTGTTTTTACTGTGAATGAATTTCTCAACCGTTTTTTATCTAATAACGGTGGCGGAAGGTGGCGCTACCGTAATTTTACGATCGTTATTTCGCTATTAAACCATTATTTGAATCCCTGGTTTAGACTCCAACGGAACTCTTGTCCGATTAAAAAACTGCAGGCAAGAATTTACCTATATTTTTTTATATATTTAAAACTATGCAGATTAATATCTTATTATTATAATTATATCAATATTTTACCAATAAATCATAATATAAAAATAGTTATAAAAATGTAAATTTTCATTGAAAACTACCCTTGAATTTTGTCAAGTTTTAAGTTCACCAAAAATTATTGTGACGATTTTGATGGAAAAGAGCAAGGGCGGCATAAGCAAGACTATAACAAAGAATGAGAAAAAATCGATGAGAGATGAGCTGAAAGCTTATAACATAATGGGTGAATATGAGAAAGAAAATGGTGATGTCAGTCATTAATATATTGGAGTTAGTTATTAATCTATTAACTAAGAATACTCTGCAACTTTGTATTTTTTATAGTTTTGCATGACAGTTCCATGATAGCTGTACTTAAATAATTTATGACTGTAACTGATTTTCAAGAATGGAAAGATATTTTCTCTTATCAATCCCTTTCTAGTCTCTTCTTAATCTTCTCAATTCTCTTATGTTCTCTCATTAATCTCTTCAATTGCTTATCTGTTCTCTTCTTAGTCTCTAAAACCCTAATCAAGTCACAACTAAATCATGACAAATTGGTATGAGAGCCCATTGCAACAAATTGGTATAAAAACCCATTGCAATCCATATTAATGCTAGGAAAGAGTAGGAAACAACTCTCCATGGCTTAAGACACTCAATTGAATGGCTTACATGAACAAATCCAAAATATCTTAAGGCAGTTAGAAGACATGAAGGCAACATAGACCTCCATGTCAAAACTATGAGAAGATAAAAAAAAAAAAAAAAGAGTTAGAAATCAAGAGTGGGAAGATCAAAAGAAAGAGTTAGAAATCAAGATGGCTAAGAATCACAATAATTTAATAAACCTAGTTAGATCCAAGAGGAAATGAGCATGTTAGCAATTCTCATTTGGCTCCGTTGGTGCAAACCAAAAAAAAAGGTATTGAGATAATTATTAGTGATGAATGTAATAAGTTTAGCTATAACTTTGATGATCTAGGGTTACTACCAAAACTTGAGGATAGTAACCTTAATAATATACATAATAGCGTTATGGCAGGCAAACATATTGAAGCTTCACTAGGAACTAACTACTCCTAGGCTTAAATGCTTTTATCTCTCAGCCAAAAATTGAACTTTCATTATTCAAATGTGAGAATCCTAGAGGATGGTTAAGAAACTATCAAAAGTATTTTACCATTTTTGGAGTGTTAGATCATCAGAAAATAGAGATAGCTACTAGGTATTTCGCTAATAGAGTAGAAATCTGGTTTGATGGATACTTGATGTAAAAACCAAGATTTACATGGTAGAAATTTTGTAATGATCTCTGCTAAAAATTTTATGACAAGACCTGTTCGGACGTGATTGAGAAATTCAACAAGCTGACTTAGAAAACCATAGTGGAAGAATACAAAGAGAAATTTGAAGAGCTTAAGCCATTCATGCTTCAGAATAACCCTTATTTGGATGAATTATATTTTGTATCCAGTTGTATAAGTGGACTAAAGAAGATCTCAAACCAAGAGTTAAGGCTAGTGAGCCTTTGACTTTGGTAGCAGCCTATAGCTAAGCAAAGTTACACCAGCTAGCCCTGGAAGTTGAATACAAAAGAAACAGACCACTTACTAAACCCAGTTCCACCAATAACACCCATACTCTTTTCAATAACCTTTATTACCCCTAGTTTTAATCACAAAAAGTCACCCTCAATACAACATCAACTACATAAAAACAAACTCTCCTAGAGTAAAAAAGATTAAAAAATCTATGTTTTAAATAGGGTGAAAAATTCTTTCATGGCCACATTTGCAAAAATAAATAACTGAACTCTATCATGGTGAATGGATTTTTAGAAAAAAAAAATAAGGATGATGAGGAACCAATTAATAATAGTGAGGATATCCATAATGAAATAGACCAAGGGGATGGTAATTTGGAAATCTCTGTTAATACTTTAATAAGTAGCGTTGGGTGTAACACGCTAAAGATAAAAGGGAATGTGAAGGTGAAACCTTTGAATATACTTATAGACAATAGGAGTACTCATAATTTTGTGACTCTCATATTGGCTAAGGATGGGATGGAGTTGACATGTACTAATCCTTTGGCTATAAAAATGGCTAATGGTGAAAAGTCATATAGTATAGTCAAATGTAAATAGCTTGAATGGATAATGCAAGGGCATAAATTTACTAATGATCTAAGAGTTTTGGCACTATGAGGTAATGACATGGTGCTTTAAGTTGATTGGATGAGGAAATACGGTCTTCTAATTTTAATGACATGTCAGTGAGTCTCAAAAAAGAAGGATAAAAAGTCACGTGGTCCTAGTAAAACTACCCTAAAGCTTATTTTTGGAGATAAATTACAGAAGCTAACCTATAAAGATTCTGAGATGTTGAAGGAAAATGTTCATTATTAGTAGGGAATATGATAATGTGGAAACACCAACTATGGTTGAGTTAATAGTAG